TATTTTATTTTGTTTTTGTTTTAACCTATGTAAAATTTTCATTAGTTTATGTTACCGGGTTTTTAAAAAACTATGTTTGTTTACGGAATTTTGGGAAGAACCTTCTATGAAACTGATGTTGTAGAAATTGTGGCTTCTTGAATTTCAAGTTCACTGACATACATCTAGTTTACTCCTGCAAGTAATAGCCTCGCGGTTAACGTCCCTACCTCGCCAATTCAAAAGTATCTCGCCGTGCACCTCTAACATGCTGGATTAATATCGAGTATAGAAATTCATGCTCATCCCTGTCTTTCTTAGAAAAATATGGTATAAAAGGCATCCGTTAATCACTTCCCTAATGTAGATTTTCCAAAGGGTCTGGAAAAGTTTTGGAAATCCATGGAATTCCAATCATTTCCACACATAACTCGAAAAGTGTGTCTGGAAGTTTTTGGAATATTTTGGAAATTGAAAAAAAAATTGGACTTAGACATTTTTTGGCTTGGAAAGTAGCGGAATTCTTTGGAAAAAATGGTAAAAAGAGAAACTTAGACATTTTCTGCTCTGGAAAACTGTGGAAAATTACTTAGAATTTTTTAACTGTCGACTAATAGTACAATAACATCGGGATCGAAGTCGGGCTCGATGAACAATTAATTTTAACAACACGCCGAAATTCAAAAATAACGAATGCCAAGTTGATGTTGCACAGAAGGAAAGTTGGAACGAGAGTGTCACGAACAGTGGATCATGATTAGCTTGGGATGGAAGAAGATGAAGATATTTTAAAGACCGGTAGGTACAATATCGTACAGTATTTTATGTGTCCTTATGCTGCACTACTTTTGATTAATCCGGGCACAATACATAAAATGCCCGACGGTGAAATCGTTAAGACAAGCACTATTTCTGTAATAATTATTTAACAAATCTAAACATATCATTAATATAATGATTAGGGGAGGAACAGCTAAAGTCGGACAGCATCGAATGTCGGACAGTTTTCTCTTTCAGAATAAAATCGTTTCTAAATTTAGTGTCATGTGTATTTTTCTTTCAGTATCTCCATCTACAGGATGTTTATGGTTGTTTCGTACATATATAGTCGTGAAAACGTTTGAAATAATGTCTAAAATTTGGAGGATACATACGCATCTCACGGATCCGGATAAAATTCGCATGCGCACCGAGCGCGCACCTGTCGACAGTGACCTAGTTATCCTTGGCGAAATCTTCAGTTTGCCGTCGGTACTCCGTGATTGCCAGTATCTTTTGTAATTAAATCATATACATTTACATGATTTATATTAATTATTCCCATAATTATAACTTTATGGTGGATATTTATTTATAAAACCATGAAAATTAAACTGTCCGACTTTACATACTCGGTCATTTAAAGTCGGACAGAGGAGAATTTAAAGTCGGACAGCACATTATATTGAATAAATTGTATTTTAATTGTCATATTTTTAAAAACTAAAACGATTTATTATAATGTTATTAAACTTACTGGCAATTTAAGAGTATTTAAGATTTTGTAAATCAAATTCTGCCGATTCGTTACAACTTTTTGGAAGGAAGAAATTAAAAAAACCGTTTTATCACTTACCTTATAGAAATTATTTCATTTCAGAAAAAAACAATGAAAAACACGTAAAGCAACAAGGATCTCATTGAATTTTAACAGCAACATACTGATATAATATTGCAGAGAAATGAAATACTGTATACATAAACCGAGGAAAATAAAAGAAGGAAGGGGAAAGAAAGAGAAGAAAAGAAAATCTATTAAAAAAATCAGCAGTCAATTTTTTTCGTGGCTTTATTTGAATTTCATGTTTATAACTCATCACTCATTCAGGAAAAAAGAAAGGTTTCTTTCTTGAAAATTAAATAAGTTACAGATTACTGATTCTAATGTAAAAATAGTGGGGTATATAGTTTTCTGTCTATAACCATTTATGTAAAATGGGATTAATTTTGAGGACAATTTAAACCCCCAAAAATTATTCACGCGATAACCCATGAGTTTATAGATTATAGATCGCAAAATACATGTACTATAAAAATTATGTTAATTTAAATTTCTTGGTATATTAATAGAAAAATTCAAAATAATGATAAATCCACACGATTACTAAGTATATTATACGTAAAAATAACTTTAAATGTTGATGAATTTTTTCCCGGGCACTTGTTATCATTTTTGTATGCTGGGGAGGGGCTAGAAAATTAAATTTAAAAAAATCAACTACCTGAGTGAAGAAAGAAAATGACAAGAAAGAAGGAGTGGTTAATGGACCAAACTCAAAGAAAATTCTATTTTGGAGGTTGATGGGAGGATAAGTTCCATTTGATTACATCTTTCAAAACCGAATTTTATTCATACATATTACCAGAATACCCTGATTTGACGGTAATAAAAACGTAGAGGTGGGACAAACAGCCTTTCAATGAACTTGAATTTTCAATAGTGTAAAGTAAGTGTAGGGGGGGGGGGGAGTGAGGGGTCAGCCCCCCATCCCCACCCCCTGATACTTTGTGCCTGCTCCACTACGATTTAACACCTAAAAAATGAAGTACATTGGACTTTAAATGCCGAAACTAGTAAGTGTCCGACTTTAAATTCTACATGTCCGACTTTCACTGTCGCTGTCCGACATTATCAGCTTTTTGCCTTTCCGTGTTTGGTTTTGATTTATAGCATTACAAAGCTTTTAACCAATGAAAATTAAGAATAGAAAGAGGGTGAAAACATCATTTTATGTGACGTATAACTTTCCGGTTATGTGTTACGAGTTTGGAGCGCGTACCGAAGGTGCATACGAGAGTGTCCGAAAAAGCGTCCGACTTTCGATGTTCCTCCCCTATTTAACAAATCTAAACATATCATTATTATGATGGATTTTAACCCGAATTTCCTTGTTTGGAATCGAGCTGATGTAAAGAATTTTATCTGTTGTACCTTCCTTTGTTCAAGATAACATTTACAGAGTATGATGTACATGTAATTAAATTAATTATATATTTTGTAATGCATGTTCATGACATTTCCAGCTCTTATCATGCATGTTTTGATTGTTTTTATAGTTGCTTCATTGCATGCCTGATATGATTTCCACATGCAGTCCTAGCGTTTGATAAAAGTGGATATACATATAGATGCTTAGCCAATCAGTCACTAGGCTTGTGAATATGGTGAGAGCCAGCTCAAATTATCATTCAAAACAAATAAACTAACTTTGATTTTATTAATCCATGTCTTTTAGCATAAGATTTAAAAATATGCATCTATGCCAAGTAAACAACATTTGAAGGTTAATATTCCTAACATGCTTAATTTCCATATCCTAATAATTTATAACAATGAATTCTGAAAGGTAATCTAAACATGCTAACGGCACGGGTATGTAAAATTATTTTAGATCAAATAGCTATCATCTAGCTTCTATGAAGTATACATGCATTTTACAGGAAACTGGATTCTCACAATATTTAGGACAAGAGCTGTATGAAAAAATGGTAAGATTTCTTCATTATTTTCTTAATCAATAAAATCACATGAATCGAAATTATATTTTTTTCAGTGTTAGTCAGGCATTGAGCTTCAGCTCTAGCCTTTTCATTTTAGCTCACCTGAGCCATTTTAAGGAATAAGTTTAGTTTATTTTTTGTCATATACTTATATGATCAGTGTCACAGTCTGGTGTTTGTCTGTTGTCTATAATTATAAACTTTTTACACTTTTATATTTATCAGAATTAATTCTAATTTAAACAAAAAATTGCAAGATAGTGAATTCATATTCTACAGTAAACTGATCTGCCAGGTAGAAAGAACTAATGTTTTGTAGAGCTTTAGTTTATTATTTGTCATATATTTAGATGGATATCAATAATGATGCATGTACATCTTAATGGTCATCTCCTCTTTCAGAAATTGTGCAAGGAAAGTTTAAAGTGTCTGTTGGAATGATCAACATTGAACTTGCAAAGCCTTCGTACTAAAAGTGAATCCGTTCGTGACGCCAATTATCTGTCAACCCTCTATTGCAAATTTCATGGGATATCTGTGAGGAAGTGATTCTAACAACAAGTCAAAAGTTTTGGATCTTCCACAATTGGGATCTTTGGCATTGGGGGAAAATAGCAACTGTTGATTTTATGGGATCTTTGTATCAATGTAGTTTTGTAGTACTTATATTATGTGTTTGTCACTGTAGTCACTAACTTTTTACAGTAAATTTACATGGGCCACTGGCAGTTTATTGTAGATGTATATCCTGTTGAGGTTTCAATGACCTCTCCCAATCCTTCGCCAATGTCATTTAATGAATCTAACATCTTATTTTTTTTTAAAAAGTGTAGACTTTAGTTTATTACATACATGTATATCATAACTTGATTATCATTAATTTAACCAAGGTGATCCTCCAGTAATCATATTTTTTCTTGGATATTTTTGTTTATAACTTTTGATGTAAAATACTTTGAAGTTTCAGTGAGAATACATGCATTTAAAAATTGTGCTTGTATTGTACATCTGAGAGGTATACTGTATGTTATCATATTTGTCTCAAAAAACATTGTAAAAGAAACAGTGAATTTTTTATTTTGCAAATATAGATTTGATCTATGAAAAATTGTGATGTTATCAAGTTTTTTTTTGTAATTATTTGGTACTAATACAGTTTTCATTGTTTTATCCTGGAATTCCACGGATTTCCATGGAATTCCTTAGATTTACAAATTATCTGGAATTCCACGGATTTCCTCCACAAATTTCTATTCTGGCATTGTTCCGCTCTTTTCCAGGCTAGATTTAAAATTCCATACCATTCCGGAAAAAGTTCCGTCCCAATACTCTCAAGAATTCCGTGAAATTCTGCGGAACAAAATTTATGTGGAATTCCATGGAATTTGGTATGGAATTCCACGGATCTTGCGGAAAATCTACATTAGGGTTGTGACCTTAAATATAATTAGTTATGTACGAAACTTTACAAATAGACCTACCTGCCGTTCCTGAGAACCCGGACACAGTGAGTTTGTATTTAGTGTCCTCGTCCCCGACATAAAACGTGGAGTACTGAGCGTATGCTGTATCACCATTAAACCTCTGTAGCTCAACCCGGAGTTCCTGGTCCTTGTTGTTTGTCAACTCATAGATTTCGTCATTTCCTTTAAAAATGTTTAAAGAAATATCTTAAATTTCAAATCATAGCTTAAATTCCGACACTGCATTTAGATAGGCACCTTACTTTGTATACGTAAATACTTATCAATAAAGTAGGTCGTAGAGGGATCCCCAGATTCTTGTTTATATTTTGACACTACATTTACTTATGCAGTGATATACCTTCATTGCCTGCATACGGAGTGTTTATATCTCAGTTGATTCGATAACATGTTCTAAGTGTGAACAGTTTCTAAAACGAGGTAAATTATTGACAAATTGATGAAACAAGAATATCAGCAGTCTCGTTTAAAGTGATATATGGCGTACTTTTGATAAGTTCTGACCATCTAAAATAAAAAAAGATTTTTCTATTTGTTTTGTTACTTTATTTAAAGAGAAGACTTTCCTGGAAATTACACAATTTAAATGAATTGCGTTTCAAAGTTATTGCAGAATTTAAAACAAAAACCGACTCGGAAATAAATATCAGACATAGTTTAAAGTAAATTTAATTAATAGAAACGAGGGGATATTTAAGTTCAAGATAGATGAAAATTTTAATTTGAATGTAAATGACAAATATCGTGTAAATCTTTTCTCGTTATTACCCGATCAAACCGTTCAGGGTAGCCTTGTGGAAGAGCGTTCGCTTCGTGATCGGTAGGCCCGGGTTCGATTCCCCTTTGCTTCGCCGCGTCATACCTAAGATGTAAAAAAGGTAGTGACTGTTCCTTTGCCAAGCGCTCAGCAGTTGAAGTGAAAGTCATGGGTATTTCGGATACGACCTTAAAATCGTAGGTCATGCACATCACGGTATGCATTGGTACGATAAAGAACCCTCACTGCTCAATGGCTCTGAGTGTCGAGTATAGGTCTAAATTTAAAGTCCTTCACCAGCATTCCGTGATGTCTCCATATGAGTGAAAAATTCTCGAGAGGGACGTTAAACAACATACAATCAATCATTAAACCGATCATGTCAGGAAGCACACGGTGGGTGTGACTGGTCAGCAGGGGATACTCACACAATTTATGACACATGATACAACCTCTTATGTTTCGAAGGTCCGTGTTTGCTTTGCTCCTGTTTTGTATTGTTTTATGGACTTTGATATTGGATACTGTTCGTTATCTCCATATCCTTCTCCATATCCTTTATTTAGATAGACACCTTATAATGTTATTGTTACATTAACTAAACCCACCAATCCAGTAGTTTGCAGATGGATCCCCAAATCCTTGTTTATATTCCGACCATGTCCGGTAAAAATCTGTAGATCCATCTTGTCTTCTTTGTATAGCCTTAACAGATTGAATGGTTTTTAATTCCTTTTCAATGTTTTAAAACGTAGGTAATTAAATACGTGTTAATTTTATTTGAAAAACACATCTAGATTCTATGTTTTGTAAAAGAAAACATCTTAAAACACTAAGTAATTTTATTTTCTAAGGACACGGAGTGGATTTGTTTGTCACTTTATGACAAGCTTAAGTTGTACTCACACTTATGTCACAGTAAACAGACCTTACTTCTGAGGCTCACACTCACTGTCCACCCTCCTCCATCTGTAACCATGTCACAGTAAACAGACCTTACTACTAAGACTCATTCTTACAGTCCACCCTCCTCCATCTGTACTCATGTCACAGTAAAGAGACCTTACTACTGAGGCTCACACTCACCGTCCACCCTCCTCCATCTGTACTCATGTCACAGTAACATAACTTACCACTGAGGCGCACACTCATCGTCCACTCTCCACCATCAGTTCTCATGTCACAGTAAACAGACCTTACTATTGAGGCTCACAGACACAGTTCAACCTCCACCATCTGTACTCATGTCAGAGTAAACTAACATTACTGCTGAGGTTCACACTCACCGTACAACCTCCCCAATCTGTACTCGTGTCACAGTAAACAGACCTTACTACTGAGGTAAACACTTACCGTCCACCCTCCTCCATCAGTACTTATGTCAGTGTAAAAAGACCTTACTGCTGTGGCTGAAACTCACTGTCCACCCTCCTCCATCAGCTCATGTCACAGTAAACAGACCTTACAACTGAGGCTCACACTTTTGTGAGGCTCACAGACTTCCCTACTGAGGCTCAAACTTACTGTCCAACATCCTCTATCAGTAATCATGTCACAGTAAACAGACCTTACTACTGAGGCTCAAACTCACTGTCCACCCTCCTCCATCAGTACTCAAATCACACTAAACCTTACTACTGAGGCTCATACTTATGTCACAGTAAACAGACCTTACATCTGAGGCTGACACTCACCGTCCACCCTCCTCCATCTGTAACCATATCACAGTAAACAGACCTTACTACTAAGACTCACTCTTACCGTCCACCCTCCTCCATCTGTACTCATGTCACAGTAAACATACCTTACCACTGAGGCGCACACTCACCGTCCACCCTCCTCCGTCAGTTTTCATGTCACAGACACAGTTCAACCTTCTCAATCTGTACTCATGTCAGAGTAAAATAACATTACTGCTGAGGTTCACACTCACCATACAACTACCCCAATCTGTGCTCATGTCACAGTAAACAGACCTTACTACTGTGGCTGAAACTCACTATCCAACCTCGTCCATCAGTGCTCATGTCACAGTAAACAGACCTTACTACTGAAGTTAACACTTACCGTCCACCCTTCTCAATCAGTGCTCATGTAACAGTAAACAGACCTTACAACTGAGGCTCATTGTCATGTCACAGTAAACAGACCTTATACTGAGGCTCACACCCACCATAAACCCTTCTCAATCTTTACTCATGTAACTCACCGTTCACCCTCCTCCATCAGTACTCATGTCACAGTAAACAGACCTTACAACTGAGGCTCACACTTTTGTCATAGTAAACAGACTTCCCTACTGAGGCTCAAACTCACTGTACAACATCCTCTATCAGTAATCATGTCAAAGTAAACAGGCCTTAGTACTTAGGCTCACAGTCATGTCACAGTAAACAGACCTTACTACTGAGGCTCAAACTCACTGTCCAACCTCCTCCTTAAGTACTCTTGTCACAGTAAATAGACTTACCTACTGAAACTCAATCTCACCCTCCACCGTCCTCCATGTGTACTCATGTCACACTAAACAGACCTTACTACTGAGGCTCAAACTCACCGTCCACCCTCCTCCTTAAGTACTCTTGTCACAGTAAATAGACTTCCCTACTGATACTCAATCTCACCGTTAACCCTCCTCCATCTGTTCTCATGTCACGGTAAACAGATCTTACTACTGAGGTTCACACTCACCAACCATCCTCCTCCATCTGAATACATGTCACAGTAAACAGACCTAACTACTGAGACTCACACTCATCGTCCACCCCCCTCCATCTGTACACACGTCACAGTAAACAGACCTTACTACTGAGGCTCACACTCACCGTCCAACCTCCTCAATCAGTGCGCACAGCAAACAGATCTTACTACGGAGGCTCACACTCACCGTCCACCCTCTTCCATCAGTACTCGTGTCACAGTAAATAGACCTGAATACTCATGTTCACACTCAACGTCCACCCTCCTCCATCTGTACATCAGCACTCATGTCACAAAAACAGACTTGACTACGGGGCTCACATTCACTGTCCAACCTAATCCATTTGTCGTCATGTCACAGTAATCAGACCTCACTACTGAATCTCACAATCACAGTCCAACCTCCTCCATCTGAACTCATGTCAAAGAAAACAGGCCTTGCTGCTGAGACTCACACTCACCGTCCACCCTCCTCCATCTGTACTCATGTCACAGTAAACAGACCTTACTACTGAGGTTCACACTCACCGTCCACCCTCCTCCATCTGAACTCATGTCACAGTAAACAGACCTTATTACTGAGGCTCACACTCAATGTCACAGTAAACACACCTTACTACTGAGTCTCACACTCACCGTCCACCCTCCTTCATCTGTAGTCAAGTCACAGTAAACAGACCTTACTACTGAGGCTCATACTCACTGTCTACCCTCCTTTATCTGTAGTCATGTAACAGTAAACATACCTTACTACTGAGGCTCACACTCACCGTCCACCCTCCTGTATCTGTACTCATGTCAAAGTAAACAGACCTTACTACGGAGGCTCACCCTCACTGTCCACCCTCCCCCATCTGTACTCATGCCACAGTAAACATACCTTATTACTGAGGCTCACACTCACCCTTCTCATTGCCATTTTATTCATATGGGTGGCGGGGGTATCATATAATGAGCTCATTACTCACAGTACCTCTAGTCTTAATTTATACCAAGTTGTACTCACCGTCCATCCTCCTCCATCAGTACTCATGTCACAGTAAACAGACTTGACCTCAGAGCCTACTGATATTCTGTATAAACCATCTTTTCCTTTTGAGCTCGGACAATTCCGTGAAATGTCCCAGCAACTATGATAATTAATTGAAAGCACTGAAAAAATGATTGATTGGAAGTAATTTATTGTTATGCCTCCACTTGATAAGCAGGAGTTTATATAATGATCAGTACAGGGATGGGGTATTTGAATTAAGTAATTGTAATTGAGAGTAATTAATTATAATTTTTGATGTAATTGGAAGTAATTTATATTTGAATGAGCCTTCAATTACAAGTAACTGAATGTATTTTTAAAAGACATTTCAAAAAAGGTCATGTATTTTCAATTACATTTCAATAACCTCAATTTCATCACATTATTCCTGTAAGGGGCTTCCAATTTAGAATTCGGCCCCAGTGATCTCTTTTCAGGCCATCACGTGACAGTTGAAATTTCCAAAAAATTCCACCTCCCGCCTCCCATATGACTTTGCTAGCAGTGTTCATTTTTTGCTATGGGAAACACAAAATATATGTCGATCATAAATTTAAAAAAGAGGTAAAGTGAATTAAGGAATTTTGCAGATAAGAGATGGGAACCCCAAAGCGTAACAGACAATCGGGCGGATATACAGACAGACGGACAGGTGGACAATCTGATTACTATAAGTATAATAAGACCTACTATTAGATTAAAATAATTAATGTGGTCAAAGAAATACGGTGACTTCTTTGTACTCCCGTATTTGATGAGAAAAGGATTGCTCGTGTATTATTTAAAAAAATATCTTAATTTTTATACCCCGACTTGAAAATCAGGGGTTTCACCATACACCAATCCCACCTAGCCAAAACAAGTCACCAGTTCTTTTTTCAGAATTTTGGCTAAATGGGAAGACACCGAATACGGTAATCGGGATGTCCGGGTGTATAACAGTGTTTCACTGGGTTCACATCAAATCAGGGCTGACGCAAAATAATCCCGGAATCTTCCCTTCCGATTCGGGCATTTTGATAAGAGACTGGAGTTGAATATTTTTATGAGATGAAAAACAACATGTAAACTTCCTGTATTGACCAGATTTATTCAAATTTAAAACTTAAAAAACTTGCGTGCCTTGCCGGATGGCTATGTATTTTTTGGTGCTAAAATCTTTATAAAGAATGGTTTTACTGAAAAGAAAAATTCTCAGAAGTTTGTTTTGAATTACATATAGTTACATCTACTCAAACTTGCGCATATTTGGTTAGAATATATATAGCAAAAAGTAATACTGTTGTGATACTGTCACGTTCTGTCTGTGGTATCCATCTCTTATCCGCAACTCCTTTTATACCACTGGAGGAAATTTGACGAGACTTTCGGAGAATCTTTATGACATAATGTCTACGTGCACATCTTATTTCACTTTTTGATCCGACACAGATTTTGGGTTTCTCATGGAAAAACATGGACACTGCCATTTTATTCATAAGGAAGGCGGGGGTATCATTTTAGTGAGCTCGATACTCACAGTACCTTCAGTATTATATAATTTTATTCAGTGATTTTTAAGAGATGTTGCGGATAAGAGATTGGAACAGATTGGAACCCATACGCGTAACAAACAGCAGACGTACAGACTAACGGACGGACATCACGATTACTTTATACCCTCCAGCTTTTCAAGCAGGAGGTATAATAAGACTTTCTATTAGTTTGAAATAGCTACTGTGTCAAAAGAAATAAGGTAACTTTATACTTTGGTGACAAAAGGATTGCTCGTGTATTATGTATGATTAAAATGCCTCAATTCTTATACCCCGACTTAAAAGCAGGGAGGGGGGGCATATACGATAATCGGGTTGTCCGTCCATCCGTCTGTCTGTTACGCTTTGAATACCCATCTCTTATCTGCAACTCCTCTTATATCACTGAATAAAATTTGACAAGACTTTCGGAAAATATAATTATATAATGCCATATAAAATAGGAGGCGGAGGTATCATTTTAGTGAGTTAATTGCCCACAGTATACCTTTAGTTTTTTTTGTAAGCTTTGGTAAGACAATGGGAAAATTAATCCTATCTCTTTTTATTTAAATATTAATGTTTTAGAAATAACTATTAATTGCAGATCAATAGTGATGGAATGAATATACAAATAATAATATTTTTATGTCGGATTTTCTCTGTGATAACTCTTTGAAAGTTAGCGGAGTTGAATTCTTAATAATTCTACCGGAATGTAAATGAGGAAGGTCGATAGGTCAGGAGCTAAGGAGGCCTAATATGTATGCTAATCTCGTGCGCATCTGTCTCTGTGTCTGACGCTAAGGAAGCCAAATGTGCATGTAAATCTCGTGCGGGGTGCCTATGTGTTTGACGTCAGTGGGCGAGGACTTGTGGAAATTGGCATGGGAGTCCTCGCGTAATTTAAATTTATGTCTACATTTTTAAAATATAGATCTTCATTTTATTTTACAATGGAAGGGAAATATTAGAAAACTGTCTAGTTAGTATAGTATGCCAGGGACATCATTTTGGAAATCATCCCGTGTTTCCCACACCCGTTGATGTTAAAAAACTAAATTCTAAACTTAAATAGAATGTACAATGACACTGTTTACCTTTCGACAAAAGAGTACAGTTTAAATCGCTCAGATCCTCTCGAACATTGTTGAACGTTTGATTTATAGACACTGCAAAACTCTCGAATTTGTCCTCTGCCTTGTTAATCTGTCTGGCAAGAACTTCTACGCCACTGATCTGCAATGTCGCATTCACTTCATTCATTTGATTTTGAAGAACCTCAATTCCTTGTCTAAGTCTTCCATCATTGTTT